ATACAAAATGGTGAACCTTACACCTATTTCTATGGCTGTTACAAAAAAAAAAAAAGATAAGTGTTAATGAGGATGTAGAGAAAAGGAACCTTTATATATTGTTGATGGGAATGTAACTTAGCACACTCATTATGAAAACCATGTAAAAATAATTTAAAAAATTCAAACTGCAACTTTTATGATTCAGCTGGCCTATGATGATGGCATGTACCTTAAAGGAATTAAAATCAGTATTTCAAAGAGTTCTCTATGCCTTTGTTCATTATAACATTAACACTAATCAAGATATGGAATCAACCTAAATATCCATCAAACAGGAAAGAAATTGTGTATATACACAGTGAACTAGTATATAGTTAAAAAGAGAAGGAACTACTGTCATTTGCAACATGGACAGAACTGAAGTATACTGTGTAAGTAAACTGTGTCAGTAAACTGTGTCAAGTATACTAAAATACTGTCATTTGCAGCAACATGGATGACACTGAAGTATACTGTGTATACAAAATATACTGAAATAAGCCAGGCACAGATAAATGAGTGCCCACGATCTCATTCATATGTAGAATATTTAAACATTGGTCTCATAGAAATTGAGAGTAAAGTGGTGGCTACCAGAGGTTGGGGAGAGAGAAGAGTAGGGGAGAGGAAATTTTATCTTACAGTAGTTTGTTAGGAGTGAGATGTTTTGGGATGGGCTTGTGTTGTTTAATGACTTCAGATAACAGTCATGTCCTAGCTGGATATGGTGGTACACATCTGTAATCCCAGCACTCAGGAGGCTGAGGCATGAGTTTGAGGCTAGGCTTCTACAGTGAGTTCAAGGCCAGCCTGAACTATATATTGAGATTGTCTCAAAAGAACAACAAAAAACAAACAACACAGCCCCTCCCTACCAGCCCCCCCCCAAAGTCATGTCCTGTGTATATAAAAAAGCTAGAGGGATTTTGAAAGTTTTCAGCATGAAGAAACAATAAATATTTGAGAAGATAGACATTTTTAATCAGTTTTAAGCATTATATAGTGTATATGTGTACCAGAACATCCCACAATATCCTATTTTTTTTTCTTTATTGGGACCAGGGATTGAACTCATAACTGTGCACTTTCAAGGCAGGCGCTTATGCTGCTGAGCTAAATCCCCAGCCCTACAATATCCTATTAATAATAGTTTTTGTCAGTTAAAAAATAAATTTAATGAAAACAACAGGCAAGATAATAAATTAATAAGTGAGATCTATTGTACAACATGGTGACTATTTAATTAAAGTGTATAATATTATTGAATATTGAAGAATAGGTTTTAAACATTTTCACCACAGAAAAAGAAGTCCATGAGGTAATAAATGTATCAGTTAGTTTAGTGTAGCCATTCTACATTGCATACATATTTCAAAACAACATATATGCTAATGTGTACAATTTTAATTTTTAAATTAAACACATTTTTTAATTATAAATAAAATATTTGAGAAGAAAATGTGGTATTGGTAAAAAAACACATAATAATGAATTATACATATCAGTGACAACTTGATGAAAAGGAATTAATTTTTGGAAAAATATTTATGGCTGGGCATGGTGGCACACGCCTGTAATTCCAGCACTCAGGAGACTGAGACAGGAGGATCATTGCAAGTTCTGAGACCAGACTGCGCTACAAAGTGAACTCAAGGCCAGCCTTATAGACTGCAAAATGAGAACCTGTATATATATGCTTTTTACTTGTATAGAATATATGTCTTTTTTTCTTGTAAGTTAAAAAAGTGAAACATGCATATAGAGAAGTGAATAGATAGATCTTAAGCATTCACCTTGATAAATTTTCACAAACTTAACATCTATGTAACCAGCACTTACATTCCGGAAAGTCCCTTTGTTTTTTCCCCATTTCCTCCCACCCCATACCACCAAAGTTAACCACTGTCCTGACCTGTTACACAGATTAGTTTTGCCTGATTTTGAATTTTGTGAAAAAGAAGTAATTTAGTATGTACTGTTTGGTCTGTTTTTTGTTCAGTATACTGTTTGAAAACTTTATCCATTTCTTTGTACATAGATTTTTTTCAGAGGAGAGGAGGGTTGTATAATTCTATAATGTACTTCTGAATATCTGAGTTTTCTTTTTACCTCTTTATTTCATTCCTTTTCTTGCAGTTTTTTGCCATTACTAATATTGCTATACCCTGATGCTTGTTTTTTGTTTTTGGGGACACATGTGTGTGTTTCTATTTATACCTAGGAATGGGACTGCTCAAGTTATAGAATATGCATTTATTCAGATTCAGTAGACACTAGAAAATCTTTTAAGTAGTTTACCAACTCATTGTCAGAACCAGCTCACTGAAAGTTTCAGATGTAGATCGTGACCAACACTTTGTGGTTTTACTCTTTGATTTGTGTCATTTAGGTGGGTGTGGAGTGGTGTCAGTTTTTGTATAGACTGCATGTGTTGAGGAACAGTGAGAATTAGCTCTCTGACTAGCACTTTCATCTAAAGCAATTTCCTCCTGGGGAATTTTTCGATTTTTAAATTAATCTGTAGTAGTTTGACTTTGAATAGCTCAGTAGTTGCAAACGCTATTATTTTCCCTTAACATCAAGGGTATACTGTGCAGTAAGTTCTTCAGATCTCCAGATTGAGCATTGATTCTTTTGTGACATGTAAGCAGAGTAGTCACTAATAGGTACAATTTATCATGCATTTCACAATTAGCAAATGTATGAAATACTTCAAGTATCTATCAATTTTATTGTGACTTTTAAAAGTGTTGATCAGATAACTTAACCTAGGAAATCTAAAACAAAGGTTTTTTGGTTTTAGTACAGTAATTACTTTTCCTTATACCAGTATGCCAAGAATGACTCATCCACTGTTTTACCCAAAATAGTTTTGATCAAAAAGAAATTCAAATAGAAAATCACAGTGCAAGTAAATTTATTGCAGGCCGAATATGCATTTGTGAGTTGAGTCTGACTTTTATAGCTGTATGGAATAATTGTGGGAGAATTGCAATCCTGAGGTCTAGATCCCAGCTTTTAATGGTAGAGTCTTTTGATCATGAAATGAAACCAGGAGATCTAAAATCAATGAATTATGGCTTTCAAAAATACAAAACTTCATAGTGGAGTCAAGTCTGGAACAGAGCGAGTCTTATGTTCCCATGTTTGTGTGCAGACATTGTCATACATGATTTTTTAATCTTCACTTGTACTATGAGCTAGGCACACATTTTATGAGGACAGTGAGACTGAAAAGGATTAAAGGTCACATAGTAGGAAAGAATAAGTGGGTCTTCTTTAACTCTGATTTTGTGGTTATACATAGAAAACTGTAATTGTTAGATCCTTTGGTGTAGTTAAAATGATTCTTTGACCGCTTTAGATGTTATAGGCACCAGTCACATAGAACTGGACTTACTGAATCTCAGATGAATGACAAATAGAGTTATAGCAAGAAAGCTGTTTTAGATCCATACTTTCCCAAATTAAGAAAATATTTTCAAGTAAGCATCCTGATTAAAGATGCAGTAAATATAATGCCAGTAGGAACTGATAAAGTTAGAGAAATTTGTTGCTTAACTAAAGTGTTAAAAAGAAATAAAGAAAAGGATTTATTTGTTGGTGTCTTATCTTAAACTCTGTAGAACCTATAGGGCCCTGCCCTGGGAAAATTAGGCATGTAGCTTGTCCTCAAGGTACATAAGTGTTCAAGAGATCCATCGTGTTTAGAAAGATGACCATAAAAAAGATAGAAGGGTAATCTAGTGTGAGGTAAGTCCTATTGAAACTTGCTTTCTGAACAAAGTGGTCTTAGAACTATCCTTGAAGGATGGATACAATGTAGACACTTAAAAATTGTTATTTTCTGTGAACAAAGGTACTGAAGTATTTATAGTTTTATAACTGAATAAGTAATGTTTATAAAAGCTGAGTACAGTACTATAAATAAAATTTAAGCAGAAATTTAATCATTGACCACAAAGTGGGCTGGATGTGGTGATACACATCTGTATTCTCAGCTACCTAGGCGGCTGGATCAGGAGGATCTCCAATCAAGGTCATTTTGGGCAAATTAATAAGAACTTGTCTCAAATATAAAAATAAATAAGGGGCTGGGGATGTTGATCACTGGTAGAGTGCTTGTCTAGCATGTGTGAGTTCAACTTCTAGTACTGCAAACAATAACACTGTCTTAGTTACTTTTATTGTTGTTGAGACAAAATACTTGACACTCAAAGTTAAAGGAGGAAAGGTTTATTGTAGCTTACAGTTTGTAGAGGTTTCAGTTCATTGTTGACTGGCTCCAAGTCAGGGTGGCATGGAGGAGCAGCACTGCAGAAGGCAAACAGTTCTTGGCAGGCAGCAGTGGAGAAATAGTTTGTGGCAGACAGAATGCAACAAAACAGCAAAATAATGAGGAAGCAAGCTCCACGGGGCAAGCAACAACCAATGGCCCTCTTTCTGTTTCTTAAATCCCTCTACACTGCCCACTTTTAGAACAAATAGCATGCACAGCCAGGGTGGGTCAGTTTTAATCCTAGCATTACACCATAAACCAATCCTTGCATCACATCCTCGATCCCCCAGCATCATGTACTGTAGATCTGCCACCTCCAAAAAGCCTTACCTATGACTTTGAGGCTCAGAGCAAGGGAGGACAAGGGATGTCTAGATACAAGAGATAGCAAATATCAACAAAATGGTGTGTATTGTAAAAACCTCAGTTTTCAGGATGAAGATTAAACAAAACAGCCTTCATGTCCTATTAACCCTGGCCATGTCTATTTGGTATTACTTCCTTCCTTCCTTTATCTATTCTTTCACTTGTACATACTTTTATGAGTGCTCTTTGCCCTGAAAGAATTCTCCTTGTTGCCATATTAGTATTGGGTAAGGCCTGTTACAGTGTAAGAACTTCCTAGATCTTTTCATGAGTGAGTTTGCAAAGACATGAGAAAAATACATTTTTACTAAGTCCATGTTTTTATCATGAACAGGTACTTGTTCAAATAGTTACACCATATCCCAGGAAATCATCACAGTGTGTCTCTAATAAATTGATGTGCAGGTAAGAGGAATAATGTGCTTAATTTTATAGCTCTACTTATGGAAATTGTTTAGTTTTATCTTTTGCTATGATTGTATCTGTGCCACTGTTTGGTGAGGTAAATGATTGCTTATAATACTTGATTTCCAAATAATTCTTTTTGTTCTTTTTTTCCCTCATTCCTTAAGTTATTTGGATAGGAAAAAGGAGAGTTGAGTACTTACATTGATTGTTTAAAACTATAAGCTAAATTTCCTGAATTAAAAATTTTTAATTGATATGATTTCTATTACTGAACTTGGCTGTTACAGGTTATGAACTTTTGATAATTCCAAATCCTTCCTGTGAAATATTTAAGTTAATAATGATAATAAAGGCTGAAAATGTGCCTTGGTAGTAGTGTGTTTGCCTAGCATACATTAGGCCTGAGGCTCAATCCACAGCACTGTAAAAACAATATCAAGTCCCTTTAAATACACACACACACACATTTGAATATTTAATTGTATGTGGGACTTGAATATTTAATTTTTTTGGTACTGGAGATCGAACTCATGACCTCACGCTTGCCAGGCAGATGCTTATGCCACTGAACTAAATCCCCAGCCACCTGAATATTTAATTTGTATGTGGGACTTTACTAAATACTTTTGCATCTATTATATCATTTAATCTTTATGCTCATGAGATGTTGATGGATATTTTCCTGTTACTAATAAGGCTTAATGATTTCTATAGGATCATATTGGTTGATAAATAGCTGGGGTGGGATTTGAACCCACATCTCTTTGCCTTCAATGACTAAGTCACTATGTTAAATTTTGTATTTTTTTCCAAGGATTCGTGATGCCTTTCTCCTCACATTCTATGGTAGTATGCCTTTGCATTTTAGTTGAAAATAGCATACTTCTGTTTGTTAGTAATCCTTTTTTTCTATAGAATATTTATTAGTTTCACATCTTAGCTACCCTGATCAAAACTCTGATTCACTGTGGTGTTACTGGTGCACAGAAATTGTTTATTTGTTTTTTTCTTTCCTATTGAAAATAGAAGGAAAATTATATTATTTCACATGTGGTATCATTTTCTAAGTGGCATTTCAGTCTATACAGATTCTAACAGCCCTGAAACAGAACTGCAGAGTTTAGAATCTTTTATTAATTGTGTAAAACAGCATCTCAAGCTGCTGTTTGGTATAACTGCAAAATAATAGTGTGTGTGCATAACAACCCCTTTATGATCGGGTCCAAAAGCAAAAAGAAGGACAAATTAGATGAGACAGTAGTACATACTGATCATTCATCATATGTTTAAATTTATATTTGAAAAACTTGTAAGAAATATAAAGACATTTGGGAGCTGTAGAACTAGGTCAGTAGTAGAACATTTGCCTAGTGCACACTGGATTCAATTACAAGCACCACAAAAAATGAAACAAAACAAAACCCCCCAAAAGCAGTCTGAAAAATACTAAAAATAAATCGTTTTTATGAGTAGTCAACATCTATATATTAAAACACTATCTGTTCTATGTTTTAAGATACTATAGTAGATAACTATCTGTAATATACATATGTATATGTATATCCATATGTATATATAGAACTTGGAGGGTAGGCTGGTATGTTTTATGAGTACAGCTCAATAGCTTGTCTAGACAAAATCAAATTCATAATTATATAAAATCTTGACTAAGGAATTATATTGAACAACTTTAGTAATTATTGGTAACTGTGCCACTTTATATTACTTTTTATCTTTATAGTGTTGGTTTATTAATGAGTTAGTTTATTTTCAGACAAAACATAATGTTTTGATGTGTGGTCGGAATCCAGTTTTTTGGCAGGGAGTGTTCTTTTTTGAGATAGGGTCTTGCCATGTGGTTCAGGCTGACCTTGAGCTCACTTTGTAGCTCAAGCTGGTCTTGAACTTGCAACAATCCTCCTGCCTCAGTCTCTTGAGTGCTGAGATTCTAGGAGCATGCCATCAGACCCGGTTATGAATCCAGTTTTTAAACTAAATATACAAGCCGAGTATGGTGGCTTACGCCTGTAATCCCAGCACTCCAGCGGAGGCTAGGGTGGGAGGATCATTGTGAGTTCGAGACCAGCCTGGGCTACAAAGTGAGCTCAAAGCTAGCCTGAACTGTATAGCGAGACCCTGTCTCACAAAAGACAAAAAAAAAAAAAAAGTAAATATACTTTCCATCCAAACAATTTTTGTTTCCTAATCTGGGTAATTAAGTAAATTTGAATAGCTTCCAGCAGCTAATTAATTAGGCAAAAGGCTTTTTTTTTTGAAATCAGTTTTAATGGGCTATAAAAATTGCCATCTTAAGTGTTTTGTCAATGGAAACTTACTGGTAGTGTGTACATGTAATTTTTAATGATTAACCATACCAGCATCTAATTTTTATTTCCCATTTCTCCTTCAAGTAGCCTTCTAAACTATCTAATCTCCTTTTCTGGCTACCAATGTTTAATTCTTCATAGGAGAGAATCTCCATCAATCCCTTCCTCTTGTCCACACCTTCCCTCTACCCATGGTATTACAAATGAGTGGCAGTAAACATTTCATCTCTGAGTTGTAGGAGTTCTTTACATATCCTATCATATTTCCAGAACCAAGACTGGGTCTTACATTAATTTTTGCTCCAAGAGATGAACTAGAGCTTATTTCCAGGGAATTTATTTTTTAAATGAACATTTATTCATATATAATAATCTACATTTATTCATAGACAGCCATGTCATCTTCTTCTGGAACATTTTCATAACTCTCTAATCCCTGAATTTCAGCCTGAATTTCTCGTGACTCCATTTCCTGGAGAACCATTGGTTCCTCTCACATTTAGCAGCAGTGCTCTCTGTAGTTAATGAGCACTTGTCCATGTACACTGCTCATAGTACACTGACATCACAACTGTCAATAATTTTACCCCATAAATCCTTCATCCATGTCACAATCTCTTATAGGCTGGGGTTCACAGAGTTCCCATTAAATCCATTAAGTCAAGTGTTAATTGAAGACATATGAGACAGGCGTGTCACCAAAAATGATGACAGTTAAGAATGATGGTCCACACAAAAGGAGTGAAAAATTGCAGGCAGCAAAATTCAGAAAATTATTTTATTTCACACAAGCACATTAAGTGTGTCCATTGCTATACACATTGTATTGAATTATGAAGATTAATATTAGGAACAACCACATCATTGTTTTCCAAGTAGAGGTATTAACTATATGTGTATCTGTTCTCAAATTGGTCATTAGGCAGTAAGTTTTGAGTTAATCTGTTTACATAGGCATTTATCTCTCCTCCAAAGACACTCAACTTGGGTATTTATACTTAATTATAATTTATATTATCATGTATTTGACGTATTATCTATACTTCAATATCTATAATTATATATTAATGTTATTTTATAATTTAGTATGTGTTGTGTATTATAGTGGATGCACTAAATATTCCATTGGTTGGTAATCTTAACTGGGGCTTGTTTTAGGGGTAGTGCTTATATATTATATATCACGCAAGGGCTTATTTTCAGGGAAACGTGGTATCCTGTTGTGCAACCTAGGTCTTGCAGCTGTTTCTCCCGTTTTTGGTGCACATTTAGTCTTTTTTAAAAAGTATCATTTGATGAATCAAAGTTTTTAATGTTATAAAATCAAGTGATCACTTTTTTAGTGTTATAATTTTTGTGTTGTGTCTGCCTAACATCCTTATCTTGACAATAAATCACCTGTTTTCTCTTGAAAGCTTCATGTATTTAGCTTTTATGTTAATGACCCATCTTGAATTACTTTTCTCACATACTTTTATTATTGAGTCCTTTAAAAGAGGTTTTATTTTTAATTTTTAAAAGAGATTTTTACCTTCATTTTATAAATGAGGATTTTGAGGACTCTAAGAATTTCGTTCTCTATGAGTGTGTTAGTAAATTTAATTTTGAAATGTAAATCCTTTTGAGGGATGATTAGCATGAAGTGTATAATTTATATCCTTAGGTCATAATTTATATACAGTGTTTAAGTCAAAACCTTTTTTTGAGATGTCTCCATTATAAAAATAATGTTATTAACAACCTAATATACTTTTGGTATCTATTTTAATAAGAAATTCTGGTATAAAGTACTAAACAAGACTGTGCATATGTTACCAGGTAGAGATACTGTTGTAGTTTGGGCTTTGCAAGGAGAACAAGGCAATACAAGACACAGAATTTACAGTAGTATTTTGTAATAGTCACCCAAGAGTTAAATACATGAAGTGCAGGAAATCGTTCACACATTGAGACCCAAGGAATCCAGCTGAGGGCCAAGATCCCACAGCAATTTCTTGCAAGAGTCCAGCTGAAGTCCTAGAGAGAGCCCATGACAGTGCCCCCCATGAGTGCAGCTGGTGGCCTACAGCCCATGACAATGACTCATGCAAGTATCTTGCATGGTTTTACACTAGGAAGACCCAGTAGTCAGTGGTGTGGAAGCTAGAAAGTCCATGCCAGCAGAGTGAAGGATCTGTGCCAGTAGGTTGAGGACTCTGCCCTGGAGCCTAGAAGTCATGCTTAAAATAAGGATCAGAGCTCCGCTGAAAAGTACCACAGCCATCCTCAGTGACAACAAGGTCCCAAGTTCCTCTGATGAATAGAATAGCTGAGTTCATATCAGGAAGCCAGTGTGACAAGCTTCTCCTGGCGATTGAACAGCACACATATTCCCTCCTGGAAGCTAGGAAACTATGCCTAGAGTAAGGACCAGAGCTCCCCCACGGTGAACTGCAGCCACTCTCAGCAATCAAGTCCCAAGCTCCTCTGGTAACAGCCAAATTTATATTGGGAAAGCCAGCAGCTCCAAACAACAATGTTTAGGAGAACTCACAACACTACTCTTCCTTTCCAGGTCTCCTTTTTATGCGGGCAACTTTCCTCAGGTGGGCCATCTAAACTCAGCACCACACTGATTCACTTCAACTGGTGTTTAAGTTGATCACCAGGTTTTAATCCACCACAGATAGGTACATTTAATTACAAATGTTCTAAGAAGCTGACCTGATGGGCAATCAAGATACACTTGATCACATTGCATAGGAAATTGAAGTGAAAGAATCTGATTGATTCAGCTGTTTAACCTGGCCTCCTTAACTGTTTTCACAAGTTGTACTGTGGGACTTACCATTGCTTTCAGATTTTAGTTCTGTCAGGGTTGAACCTTATTCCTAGTTTGAGGTCTCTTCTCCAACATTAAAGTGACCAGCCTTCCCAGTTCCAGCACCTGCAGCTAGCGAGAGTTCTCAGCAGATATTCTTTGATAAGATGGTGTGTAGGGTCTCCTAGCCATGAGGTAATCATTATCTTTCTCAGAACATTCCTGTTTTGCAAAGGAGATGAAGAAAGATTTTCACAATTATGTTCTTTAGGATGACATGTGAGAGAACATGCCACTATTTTCCAGTCTTCTCATGGCCTCTTACAAATTGTGTTTTTGATATAAAGAATATTTCAATGTCATGAAAATCCAACTGATTTTGAGATTCTTTAGGGGAGTTGGAGGGTTTCCACATATTGAATGTAAGGTTGTCTAAACAGGACAGGAAGAAGTGAGGTCTGCTGTCAAAGAGTTCTTCATTTTGTGCTGTTGTCCATTACAATTTATGATGAAATTAGCCCTCCTTGCTGTTTACTAGTGGGAAAGACTGCCCTTTATAGTATGAGCAAAGAGCACAGTGCTGACTGTCGGAGGATGCCCAGGCTCTGCTGCAGAGTTGGCTTTGCTCTGCCATGTGCTGAGCAGGGTCTGTGTGGACTTCGGGAACACTGGAGGAGTTCTTAGACCCTTTCAAAATGGAGTTCTCTCTCAGGAAGCATTAGCTTCAGTTGATAACTCTCAAAGAAACTAGGACAGTTCTCCAGCTGCTCTTTATTTCTGTTGGTAAACAATGAACAGTAATAGAATCATGCTGAAAGTAACAGTAATAAAAGTTACTGTGTTCTCATTATATCCTAAATTACATTACATTATTAACCCCTCAAAATACCTAAATGCAAATTTGTACACATGATTAAGTAAATTAAATGTTTTTTCTTACATAATAGTTGCTGTGCTTAGTGTTTGCCACTATTTCTGACTGGAATGGATGTTTATGGTCTTAAGCATGTTGATCATGTAGTTTTTAATGAACTAGTTTGTCTTGTGCACAAGAACCAAAATTTAATGGTGTTATTTTTGTTCTTTCAATATATTTTTATAGTTTTCTCTTTCATGTAGTTCTGTTTTAATTAAGCTGCTTTCTTCTATTTTTTGGAGACAGGGTCTTGCTATGCAACTCAGGCCGGCCTTAAATTTAAGACAATCCTCTTGATTCATCCTTCAGAGAGCTGGGATTACAGGTATGCGGCACCAGTGCTTTTAATCCATGAATCCAGCTTTTAATATTTGTAATCCTTTATAATTTTAAGGATTTAAGGCAAACTAGCTTTGTTTTATAACTCATAAGGAGGGTTTTAGAACATTTGTACAAAACCATTTTCTTATTTGGAATAAGACTTCTAATTGTTATGTGAAATCAGGAGTTCTCTTCATTGTTACTTCACTATTCAGATTTATGTCAGCCTTGCTTACTGTTGCTGAGGGATTCTTTTTTTTTTTTTTGTCTTTTTCCTTTTTTATTGGTACTGGGGATCGAACCCATGACTGCCTGCTTGCAAGGCAGGCGCTTATGCCGCTGAGCTAAATCCCCAGCCCCTGCTGAGGAATTCTTTGAGCCAACATTTACACATATAGGTATTTACAAAATGTACTATGGGATTCTATTCTGCATTGTCCAAGTGAGTGTTGATGACTTTTTATAGATGAGGAGCTCTGTTTCGTTTTTTTTGTTTGTTTGTTTTTTTAAATAGATACCAGGTCACTTAGTTCCAATTGTGTTTGCTAGCCATTTATACATTAATGTATTTTTTAAAAATTTCTTGAAGCAGTATTTATCATTCATTATTAGTTTAATCAGATGATGGCCCTGGCATTTTTATTGCATAATCACAAAATAGCTAATTTTGTCATGTTTGGTATCATGAGCAGATGTACTTCCTATAAAAACAGCATGCAAAGTGTGAATCTAAATGAACTATTTAGATACTATAGAAATTATATATTTGTGATTTTAAAAAATTATGGTTTGCATGCATTTTTAAAATGACCTTACTATGTACTGTACTATTTTGTTGCTGCCACAATGAAGCAGTAAAAACTGACCTCTTATGTTTTCAAGTATAATGTGTTATTTTGAGAGAGAATATGATGGCCTGAGGTTTAGTGCATGACTCTGGCTAGCACTTTACGCTGTGTTCATATTTTGCATCTACCAATACCAGCTTTGTGACCTTGGGCAAGTTACTTTATGTATCTGTACTTTAATGTCTTCCTTTCAAATGGTAATAATAGTGATAGTAGTTTGTACTTTATGGGTATTTTAAGAGGATTATGTAAGTTAATATACATGACATACTTTAAAACAATGCTTAGTACCTAGTAAGAATAAATGAGTAAAGATTGTAAAGGGTGAGATAGGTAGGAGTGTGTGTATATGTGTATGTGTTATTTATAGGGGCTTCTCATGTAATCCATTTCTATTCCTTTATAGTGGGTTTTTGATTTCCTGATGCATCAATAATATTTATAGGATGACTTTCATGATTCTAGGTTCTTTGGGGCATGCAAAAGAAACAAAAGGCATTATACCTACTTTGAAAGCTTGAACCATTTTTAAGTAGGAACATGAAGGAGACAAATAGAAGTGAAAGTGTAGCAGTGTAAAAGTGAAAAGATCTGAATCTTTTGCAGTAAAAATAGAGGGAATGAAGTATAAAAGAAGAATTTTTATCTTAGAGGATAAGAGTTATAAAAATCCATTGTAGAAAGTCTCAGTTTTGTATATCTTACATGCACATGTGTGTCAGAAAGCAAGTTTATTATGTTCCTTGTTGTCTTGCAGGGCTTCTCATTTATTTTAGATGAGCTTGAAACCCCTGATTTTGGTTAGCCATCTCCCTTGTTTTGATCTGTATCCTTTGTTACTCTCCAGTAGAAAACCAGTACTTCAGCCTAGAGGTTTCTTACTACTCAGATCATTTTCTTTTCTCAGACTTGTGGTGATCTCTATTTCTGGAATGCTTTTGAATACCCCTTCACATCCTGTCCCTTAGAGTCCTCTTGAGTCACCTCCAAAAGACCTGTTCCCATCAGCCAAGCTGAATCTAACTTCTTGATGGGACTCTCATGCCTATTTCTGTGGGAGCACTTAATCTATATATGAAGTACGAAGGGCAGTGCAGATGTGTGTGAGCAACAATATCTTATCCTTTTTTTGCATTTTAATTCCATCTGCTGTGTCATTATTCTCTGCTCCTTACCTTCCTCCTGAGAAATCCTAGAGGTCAAAAGCTTTGTTTCTTGTGCCTCTTTCTCTCATCAAAGCAGATGAGAGATGTTCTCTCAACAAAGCAGCTACTACTGTAGCTGTATGTGTAATTGCACATGGCAGCTTCCTCATAAGAGGCCATATAGTTAGAGTGGCAGGAGAGCAAGAGCTTTTATATGCAAAGACAGGTTTTACTACACTGTGACACTGGACTTCTTTCCACTGACATTCTCATATGAAGAATGAGGAATGTGATGTTGCTGTTTACTTATGAGGTGGGGTATATAAAAGAAGTGATGTTTGTGGAAAAACTTTTGCTTACTTTTAAGTGTCTGAGAGTCATTGTTTCTAGCTAGTCTAGCAAACGAGCATTGAATATGTTGGTAAGTCAGGATCAGGTCTGTGTCCTGGAGGAAGACAGTCACATGAGTAGGAATGGAAGCTGAAGGGAGAGTTACACTCCACTGCCTCACTCTGGCCTAATCCTGAGCTGCTGGAGAAGGGGCGCAGTGCTTAGAGGTTGTGATGATGTAGTTTGGGGTATGGGTAGCAGAGTATCAAGAGGAAAATAAAGTGACAACCAAGAACTTTGTAAACTTCAGGGTATTCAGATTAGAATAAGGGCCATCCAAGTCTAGTGACATATATTTGACATGTCTCCACTACTGGGAGGCTGAAGCAGGAAGCTCACTTGAGTCAAGGATTTCCAGGCTTGCCTAAGCAGCATAGCAAGAACCTCATCTTAAAATGAAACAAAAAATCAAAACCAAATAGATTGGCACAGGAAAATGGTTAATTCTGTAAAGTGACATTTCTTCACTGAAAATGGGGAGCTTTCTGGGTAGGGCCTTACATTTCTGCATTTTATGGAGAAACATTGTGCAGTAAATGTGAAACCTATGGCAATTACTAAATTACAGATACTTAGCTATTCTTATTCTGACTGCAGATTTATACGAGATTTTGATAAGGACAAGTTTGGAGAAGAAGGAGTGGAGACTAAGCTTTTGCATCTAGACAGTTTGACTTTCAGTTCCTGGTTGCTGTGAATTGCTATCTGTCACTTTAGCAGTATCTAAAACCTGCCCTAGGTTTTTCAGCTGTGCTGTCTAACCAGGTACATTGCCAGAAACCTTAGCTGAATATTTTTTTACATACCCTAGATGAAAAAAATAAATACTTGTGATAGCAATTCAGTTCATTTCTCTAATTAGTTGCAACAATTTTGTTTCCATAACAACAAAAAAAATAGTGACTCAAGTGAGTGATCATCTGACTGTGCTGCTTGTACATCATTTGAGTAGTTATATAAGGATTTCTGTGGTACTGGGTAAATGTTATGGACCTTAGTGTCCAGCCTTGTAAAATGAAGATGTTGAGGGAACTGCTTGTGGTCATTCTCAAGCTATGAATGTTAAGTACTTTCAAGTGGTTGAAAATTATCTTTTAGTGTTCTACTTACACATGGAAAACTTCCCAAAGGGCTCTAAAAAATTCAAGAGTTCATTTCTCTCAGCTCACTCAGCACTGTAAATTAAGACCTTATTATATGCCAAAGACTGCTTTAGGATTGGGACTGCCACAAACAAGGTAGGGTCCTTGCCTGCTAGTGGTCAGATTTCAATGAGACAAGAAACTTAAACAGACAGAGAGGAAGTTAAGCCCAGCCCAACCACTTGGCCCCAGTGGCTGTGTAGATGCTGATGGTAGTTACTGTCTTGGTGGATGGATTGGAGAGGTGATAGCTGGGAAATCTATACTCTTTTGACTTCACACACATGATAGAGATGCTATCTACAGTTTTAAATTTGAGAGTTCTGGTTATTTGGCTAATATTTAAGCTGATTGAATTTAAATAGAAAAGAAGCAGGGATAGAGACTAAGCTTGGAGTCCAATAATTTGAGATCTAGTAGAGGAGGAGAATAGCCAAGAAATCCTGGTTGAATCTTGTTGACTTCCATGCAGAAATTCTATTGTAAGGGCATCCTGCTCTTTATTTAAGTCCAAAGTCGTTTATAATGGATCAACACAGACAAAAGGATTAGTAAATATCTTTTAAAATGAGACTGTCCGTGCAGGATGCCAAAACCTGGTAGCTGTCTGGTGGCCTCACCTGTGGAGACACCAATTTCTGCGGCACCCTGAACCTTGCAGTTAGGCTGCACCCTCTAGATGCCTGTGACCTTCTGGGTCAGTCCCTTGAGTTAAATGTTGATCAAGAGAAAGTTTGTTAACAAAGCCTGTTTTTGTTAGTAGTGCTATTTACTGTACTTGTGTAACTAAAGTGTTGTCCAATGCAGTACAAATATTATTTTTCTACAAAATATGCTAAAAACTTTGGAAAACCTGCATAGGCATGCCTCCAAAAAATCAAGAAGTTTTAAGTTACATGGTGTCATGTCAACTGTAAAAGATAGGGAGATATGATTAAACTTCTATAAAGATTCTTGGAATGCTTATTGAAAGTCTCTGAGTTTGTGTACCATTCTCATAACAAAAGGGAAACTGGAGGTTGTGATGATGTGTTTTTGGGTTTCTCTGTGGAGAACTATTAAATTATAATTATTATTAATTGAATATTCTGTGACATGCAGAAGTATACAGTGTAATATTAAATTATAGCTGACATAAAACTATTACATATTGTTATCCCACTTTATGAAACTATACTATGGTGTTGATAGGAATTTTCTGTGGCTGGTGAGATTACCGATGGCTTTGAGTTTATATTTTATACGTACTGATATTCCACTTTTAAGTGATAATTTTCCTAATTTTATATCTTTAACTCATGCATAATGAAGATTGGAATTTTTTTGAATTTTGCATGAAATTAATAAGTACTACCTAGAAGAATTTAAGAAACAAGAATTTGAAGGGAAATTTTTTCCTTATTTCTCATTGTTATGGACATTCTACAAAATGGAACTCTAGGCCCTGAAAGGTTAATGAATGATTGAAAACTTTAAAAA